CAATATTTTTCAATGATAATTTATCAATAGTTAGATGATCTGTTAAATTTTTAATAATTTGTATTGATAAGACTTTAATTTGATTTCTTAAATACTTGTCAATGATGGTTTATTGATTTTTTTGCAGGATGACAATGGAGACAGATGATTATTGAAACAAACTATTGATCTATGTCTTTATTATAATAATAAAAAATCTCAAAAACGATTTTTGTATTTTGTTTCATTTTAAAATGTAAATAGATATATGGATCTGAGGTCTTTGTTGTATTGAAGGCTGATGTGCAGGTAAGATTTGAGGGCTGCCAAATAGAGTTATGGATTTTTTTCCGCGTGCACCGTCGGTCACCAAAATGCGTTGTATTGGCTGTGCTTTTTTATAGGAATGTTCATAACTGCTAAGTTTCATGGGCAACACCGATTTTTTTTGAAGAAATGTGATAATTAACCATTTATTAACATTCTGTCAAAATATTTTTGAAATTAGAGTATAATGAAATTTTTTATGGATTTTTTCCGCGTGCCCCGTCGGTCACCAAAATGCGTTGTATTGGCTGTGCTTTTTTATAAGAATGTTCATAACTGCTAAGTTTCATGGGCAACACCGATTTTTTTTGAAGAAATGTGATAATTAACCATTTATTAACATTCTGTCAAAATATTTTTGAAATTAGAGTATAATGAAATTTTTTATGGATTTTTTTCCGCGTGCCCCGTCGGTCACGAAAATGCATTGTATTGGCTGTGTTTTTTTATAAGAATGTTCATAACTGCTAAGTTTCATGAGCAACACCGATTTTTTTGAAGAAATGTAATAATTAACCATCTATTAACATTCTGTAAAAATATTTTTGAAATTAGAGTATAATGAAATTTTTTATGGATTTTTTCCGCGTGCCCCGTCGGTCACCAAAATGCGTTGTATTGGCTGTGCTTTTTTATAAGAATGTTCATAACTGCTAAGTTTCATGGGCAACACCGATTTTTTTTGAAGAAATGTGATAATTAACCATTTATTAACATTCTGTCAAAATATTTTTGAAATTAGAGTATAATGAAATTTTTTATGGATTTTTTCCGCGTGCCCCGTCGGTCACCAAAATGCGTTGTATTGGCTGTGCTTTTTTATAAGAATGTTCATAACTGCTAAGTTTCATGGGCAACACCGATTTTTTTTGAAGAAATGTGATAATTAACCATTTATTAACATTCTGTCAAAATATTTTTGAAATTAGAGTATAATGAAATTTTTTATGGATTTTTTTCCGCGTGCCCCGTCGGTCACGAAAATGCATTGTATTGGCTGTGTTTTTTTATAAAAATGTTCATAACTGCTAAGTTTCATGAGCAACACCGATTTTTTTGAAGAAATGTAATAATTAACCATCTATTAACATTCTGTAAAAATATTTTTGAAATTAGATTATAATGAAATTTTTTATGGATTTTTTCCGCTTGCACCTCGCAGTCACGAAATTCAAAATGCGTTGTTTGAGTTGTATTGGTAGTTTTTTCATCAGAATGTTCGTAACTGCTAGCAACAACGACAATTTTTGAAGAAATGTGATAAATAACCATTTATTTAACATTCTGTACAAATATTTTTGTAATTACAATATGTTAAATTTTTTTTTGATTTTTTCCCATGATCAAAAATCCATTGGTTGTCTGTGTTTTTGGAATAGAATGGTCATAACTATTAAGTTTCCTGCTTGATTATTATTATTATATTATATATGATATTATATATATAATATATTATTATTAATAATTTTTTAAGAAATGTAATAAATAATCATATATTAACATTCTGTAATATTATTTTTGAAACTGTAATTCAAGTGAATTTTTTTAATTTTTTTTCAGCCATGCCACAATTAGTAAAAATAATAAGATTAAAAAATAGTTGAGACATAATTTTTTGTTCAATTCATTATCAATTTATTTTATAGTTATTGGTCAGCCAACCAGTCTGAACCCAGAAGCTCCTTCATGCAGTTCAACAGCTGCCCAACATATATATATATATAAATTATAATATAATAATAAAAATATAAATACCATTGTAATATGATTATGATTATTAAATTTTAATATATAAATAATATATGTAAATTATAGATACATATATAATTATTTTATAATTATAATTAATCATTTATAATTAAATTTTATTATAAATATAAATTATTCATAATTATTATTTTCTTATTATACAGCTGTTATAAAAACAAGAAGAAAAATTGTGTTGTGTTCAATTTTAAATCGTTCTTTTCACGTCTTGTGCGCGAATGTAACGCTCCATGCTCACTTAACATTGAGCGCCACTCTTAACATGGCGCAAGTTGAAAGTAAAAATAATTCTTTCAAAATTCGTTTTCTCGGTAACTATAAATGCTACAATAATAAATTTAGTATTATTTTAATCAGCAAATTTTACTTTATAAGAAAAAGTAGTTTATATACGAAAAAAATTTTTTTTAAAAAGTCGTGCGACCTGCTAATATATATAATATCATGTATGTAAATGGAAGTTTTCACAACTTGCAAAGTAAGATTTTGAGGATTCTATGGAGATTAAAAGTGAACGAGAATGTCTGTTTTCTTTTATTTTCGCTCCGTTTGATTTAGTTTTAAATGCTAATCATAAATTAAATCTTTAAAAGTTTAAATGGATCAGAAGAAAATAAAAGAAACTCTCAAGAAGGCTAATTTGTTAATTAAACAGAAAAATTATCCCGAAACGATCGTCTTGTGCAAGGTTTGAGAATTTTTTAAAGAATTATTTAGTTTTTTAAGTACTTTAATAGTTTAATTCTTTAATATTTAATTAATTTAAATTTGTAATAAAAATAAAAGTATAGAATAGAGGCTATGCGATATAGTGTAGATAAATAAACATTTAGTAGTATAGAATAATATAAGAATGCTTAATTAAAGAAACATTATTAAACCTAACTAAAACGAAGATGTATGCAATTCTAATAATAAATAAATATGATCTTCTAACTGCCAACTAAGTGTTAACAACTAAATCTACGACTAAACTACAGCCTATAAGAACAAAATTTTTATCTATTGAAGTGCAAAAAATGTAGATATGTGATATGTCCTATTATAAACTATAAAAGATAATGCGAATGACTGATTTTATACTTTTTAGGAAATAATAGGTCAAGATGAGGACAATTATATGGGTCATGTTTTTATGGGAGCAGCCCTAGAGGGGGTGGACAACATAGTGGAAGCATTTGCAGCCTATAAGAAAGCAATTAGTATTGATGATAAGCAGTTGCTTGCTTGGCAGGTGATTTTTTTTTTCTTTTAAGAAAATAAATAAATCATTTTTTGTTATAGGACCATAATTTTTTTTTCAATCATTTTTTTGGTGTAATAAAATGTGAATTTAGTAAGTATATATTTATATATAATATGCTCAATTGTTTAATATCTGTTGTTTATTAATTATTATTTTTAAATAATTAATGTTTCTAATAAAATTGTTTATTAATTTTCTAGGGTCTTGGTAAGTTGTATGAAAACAAATCGAAGAACGATTTTTTGAGCTCTCAGAAGACATTTTTCATTAATGTTTTTGAAAAGTTAGGGGAAAACATTAAAGAGTTAGTGCATGATTTTTGTAATATTTATATTTTACTTTAAAATATTTTTTTTTCTATTATTAAACTAATTTCTAAACCTCAAAACAAAACTAATCTAGTGTTTTTGGTTTGTTATTTTAATTTGAATCATCAGCAATGAATCAAAAAAGATCGAAAATGACGTCAAACTTTGCCAGCTTTATTTCGAGACCAAAGATCATGATAAATTCTTGGCCGTGTACATCCTAATTAACAATGATTTAATAACCAAAAAAAATATCACCGAAAAATATAAAATCGACAAATGCCTTATGAAACTATTTCAAGAGAAAAATGACATTGATGATAATCTTAAATATATGGTATGTCCGCTATAATAATTATAGTATTAATAATAATTAATAATAAAATAATATTAATTATAACAACAACAATAATAATAATAATGATTTTAGGTTTTGGATTCAAGTAAATTTTTATCTGAATATGTGGACGGAGATCGATCCATTAGGCAGGAGGCCTGGATGCTTTACCTTAAACTTATTCAACAGGTCTAATAATAAAAATAATAATATTAATTATTATTATTATTGTTGTTTGAAACTGTGCCATAGATCGAAAAATTAGGAACCGCTGACATTTGGAAATTGGTGACAGAGAAATGTCCGATTTCTAACTGCACACCCAACGATGAGATTGTTTTACATATTTTCATGGATACATACCCTGGTATTTGTTTTTTGTATTGGCTTTTTGTGTATTGTATGTACTGTGTGGTGCGTGTGTTGCATTAAAGGTTAAAAATTTCTCTCTCTCTCTCTCTCTCTCTCTCTCTCTCTCTCTCTCTCTCTCTCTTGTGTTTGTTTCTTAGGTTTCAACGACAAACACACACGCATCATACACATTGCATATGATAAGCCGGGATCTCTTTGTATTTGAACCCAGTCATTGCAATAGCAAGACAAGGCACCTTTAACCATTGAGCCATCACGCTTCCCCGTGATCATTTTATTGTTTTGCATTGTGTTGTATTGTATATTTTTGTCTGGTATTATGATATATGCTGTTGGTATGTTTTGTATTTTATTGTCTTGCTATGGTTTTCATTGTATTGCTTTATATTGTATCGTATTGTATTGTTTGGTGTTAGTTAGTATTGTTTAGTATTGTATGGTATTTATATTTTTTTATCAATTAGTATTTTTTTCAGTTTTTCAACTCTTTTTCCACAGATGTCTCAAACTACCCAATAGACAATTTAGTTGAGAATATGAAAAAACCTCTCGTGCAATCATCATCATCACCTCCGCAGTCATCATTATCAGTAGCACCCCAATCATCATCATCACAGTCACAATCATCATCACAATCATCATTGTCACTCGTTCTTTGTCTGTATGAGGCTTTCTGTGATATCCACCATGGAAAATATAAGGAAGCTTTGATTAAGCTTGAAAAAAGTGATTGTTATTATTTTATTAATATTATTATTATTGTTGTTGTTGTTACACACACGCACACACACACACATACACACACGCACGGACACTCAAACACGTAAATATTACACATGTATCCACACATCACATAACATATAGTAGACTGGGGTATATATCATTTATCATCATGTGACTCAATGTGATTGAGTAATGATGTATATTTTTTTTTGTTGTTATTAAAGTTTCTGAAGTCTATGGGTCTTCATCGGCGCCATTATCATCATCAGCACCACCATCATCGTCATCATCTTCTTCTTCGTCATCATCATCTTCATCATCATCATCTTCGTCATCATCAGTGTTGATGTATCACCTGATGTTATCACAGTGCTTATGTAGACTGCATAAGAATAAGGACTCTAATTACGCTGCTAAAAATGGTTGGAATGAATGAGTGAAATGGATTGATTAGTGTACGAACGAATGGTTAACTAGACGAACAAATGGATGGATAAAAGGTTAAATGAATGCATGAATGAATGATTGATTGACTGACTGAATGATTGAATGGCTGGATGAAGGAATGAGTGATTGATTGACACTCTGATGATATTTAAACTTTTCAAGAACAACTATCATAAAATGAACTAGTATTAACAGTTATATATATGTATATATATATATATATATATATAAATATATATATAAATATATATATATATATTTCTTCTCACATTTAAGCTTTGAAGCTAATAGAACAGAAAAATCATCACACTTACTTCGGCGATATCGAGTTGATTACGAAAAAATTTCACATCACTATTTCTAAAAATAACCTCCAATTAAAAGATGAGGATGGCTGGAGATATGCCCTTGACATTTGTAGCAAGGTACTTCAGGGCCTCCTATTAATTTATTATTTAATAATTGTTTTTAATGTTTTTAATTAATCTAATACTATTTCTATTGACCCACCTTCTTTCAAATTCATTACTCTCCTGGCAAGCCTTTAAAAAACTCTGCGGAGTTTGAATTTCTAAATGCGATAGAAAGCTAAGGCGAAATTTTTAAGAGAACGAGTTCGTTTTCTGTAGAACGTCTTTCTACGCTGATATTTATCCAAATTACTCTGTTTATTTTTGGTAATGTTGCCGGCAAAGTTTGTGCGTCTCAGTATTTCTAAAATTAAAAAGTTGTCCAACGTTAATGACATTTTAAGTTTTTGTTATTGTAATTATTATAATTATTAATTTAATTATCTTTGGTGTTTTTTTTCAAAGTACATAGATGAAGGTGTAGATTGTAGTATCAAATGTGATTTAGAATTGGCAATTGTGTACTGCATGGCTGCCATGAAGTTGGGCACCAGCTGTTGTGATAGTGACCATCATCGCCGATTTGTGGAGGTTCGAGTTAGGGCTAGATTAGATAGCAATGATGTTAAATTAACACACACACACATACACACACACAAACGTTTATATACATCGAAAGAAACACACACACACACAGATTTTAGAAAAGATATCAGATATCAAAGATACTGACGATGACTACTTTAGATACAAAAAGTGTATCATCTTGGGCCACGTAGCATTCTATAAAGAAAGAATTTTGAGCAAAGCTTTATCATTGTTGGTTCATAATTTCATAATTTTCATTATTATTATTTTTACTATTATAGCTATAATAATAATAATAATTATTAATATTATTTGTGTTATTATTATTATTGCCTTATCATAGATATATTTTCCTGTTATTAACGATTTTAATTGTAAACAATATCGCACTACGCAGTTACGAGCGTGCAAGCAGGATCATCCAAACGAACTTTGAAGCCTTCTATCACGTAGCTCTTACTTATTGGGATATCTTGATGGGATATAAAAGTTTGGATAGCAAGAAAGAGGACCTAGTTAAATGGGATACTGAAATAAAGTTGGATACAACAAAGATGGATACTCTAGAAATGGATACAGTAAAAGAGGAGGATGGTTGGAGAAAAGTGGATACGGAAAAATTGACTGGATCTGTATCCGGACCGGGTAGCAAAGATGATTGGGATAGTTTGGGATTGGACGAAGAAAGGATGAAGATAAATTTCATGCAGAACATTTCTACTGTGTGTATTGTTGTTGAGTTCGCTGGTGTTTTTGCCGAATGTGATGTTTCTTGTTTGGTTTCGTTGTTTCCGGAATCCAATCATGATGATTTGTTTTTTTGTTTTTCTATGAAAGGTTTACAAACCTTTACAAATCCTTACAAACGTTTACAAATCTCTACTAATCTTACAACCCTTTGCAAACCTTCGCAACGGTTTTTACATTACCAGGCTATAAAGTTGGACAGCCTGCATGCCAAAGCCTACTATGTTTTGGGCCTCTATTTCACTAGAGTTTCTCCAAATCTGGAGTAAGTATGCTTGCTGCTGCTGATGATGATGAGTAAAATGATGATGATGATGATGAGTAAAATGATGATGATGAGTAAGATGGTGATGATGACGAATAAGATGACGGTAGTGGTTGGTGATGGGTAAAGTTGCTAATAACGCTATTGATAATGGTGTTCTACTTTTTTGGCACCATCAATCATTATCATCATCATTATTCTTATTATAATTATTATTAGTATTATTATTGCTGTTATTATAATTATAATTAATTATTATCACAAAGAAATATTATCCTCTCATAAATGTCCCGTTTTCCACAGTAAAGCACTTCAATTCCTGGTGAAATCATTCAGCCTGGATCGCAATGATGATGAAGACATCGCTATTTCACTGGTCGACTGCGCGCTAAAACTCAACGACAATGTGACGACTACAAATCCATTATTTTTCCATCATTAATTGCGTCATCAGATAAATATATATAATATAATGTAATATAATATAATATAATATAAGATAATGTAATATAATATAATGTAATGTGATATGATATGATATGATATAATGTAATGTAATATAATATGATATAATATAATATAATATGAGATGATAATATGAGATGAAGGTGCTATAGTATAATATGTATAATAAATATAACACCAGGTAATAACATATTGGCGTGATGATGTTTCAGAATGTTATTATTATTTTTATTATTGTTGTTAGGGCCTTTAATGTAATGATAATATTATTCTACAATAATTACGATAATTATAACTATAATTACTATCCTTCAGGAGACTTGTATCACCTACCTCAACCCAATTGTCAGCAGGGACAAAAATAATTGGTAGCCAATCTCTTTCATCGTCATTATTATTATTATTATTATTATTTTTATAACTTTAATTATTATTATTATTATTTTATTACTTTTATTATTATTAATATCACCATCGTTATCATCACTGTGTAGCCCTAAATGGGTCCTTCTAAGACTGAGTGACTATCACATTAAGAATGATCGAGTGAGTGAGGCCATAGACCACTTGCAGACAGCCATCAGGAGAGATGCCAATGATTTGTTAGTAACCTTGGCATGCTATTTTGTATTCGTGTTTGCCGGTATTTGGCAGTCTTTTTGGCGGTCTTTGTCGATTTTTTGACGATATTTGTCGGCATTTAGAAATAGTATATCATATTCTTTGGTTGTATTTGATAGTATCTTGTTAACAATCTTGAGTATTGGTTAGTATTTTGTTAGTCTCAGCTAGATTTACATCAATTATACGCTTTATTATTATTATTGTTATTATTAAATTATTATTATTGTTATTATTATTATTATTGGCCAGGCGTGTTTGGGAGAGACTAGGAGCTGCGTACCTGCTGAGAGGAAGTTACACGTCTGCTCTCAAAGCATTCCAGAAAGTTCTCAACTCTGAACCCGGCGCTATTTATAGCATCTACCAGTATGTTATTTTTGGTTTTATTATTATTATTCATTAATTTTTTTTAATTTTATTATGAAATTTAATGAGATGTCTGATTAGTATAAGTCCTTGGGCTAAATTTTTCGTCTCCAATTTTCGATTTTTATTTCATTTGAAGTTAAGCATATTAATATAATTATTTCAATTATTTTATTATATTATAATTATTTTTATATTATAATTTTAATATTTTACAGAAATAAATGGTAATAATATTATGAATTATATGTACATGTAATAATTATAAAAGTCTTCAAGATAATTAAATCTTTTTCCACAAAATGTCCATGAATAGGAGTGCCTGCGTAGAGCAAAAACTTGGAGAGCTAGCAGAATCAATTCAAAATTTTAAGAAAGTTCTCGAATTTGATGAAAAGTTTATACCGGCATTCTTTGGTTAGCTTCATTATGAAATTATTATTTTAATTTGTATTTGTTCGATTGGTTGGATGATTGATTGATTGGTTGGTGGATTGATTGGTTGGTTGATTGGCTGGCTGGCTAGCTGGCTGGCTGGCTGGCTGGCTTACTAACTGATCGAACGATTGATTGGTTGGTTGATTGATTGGTTGATTGACTGATTGGTTGGTTGGTTGGTTGGTTGATTTATTGATTGAAATGATTGATTGAAATGATTGATTGAAATGATTGATTGAAAGGATTGATTGAAATGATTGATTGAAAGGATTGATTGAAATGATTGAAAAGGTCTAGGGGAAGTAAACTTGACGTTGGCACAGAATTTTGTAGCAGAACGTTTGTATGGCAGAGCTTGTCTTCACTTGCAAGCAGCCATTGATAATCTTATAGAGTCAGCTGGTTGCTCTGAATTTTTGAATAAATTAATAAATTATAATTAATTATCATAATGTAAATTATAGGCGAATTAGTTAATTGTTCGTTCAGTTTCATAAAATTTTTGTCTTTTCGTAAATATTACACTGTAACTTTTCATAAATCAATATTTAATATTGATTTGCAATTTTCTTCTTCTTATTATTATTACTATTTTATTATCATACCATTGTTATTTTGATTATTATTATTTATTTATTATTATTGTTATTATTATTTTAACTTGAAGAGTTTTAAAGTTGAGCAAGAATTTTAAATGTGCATACAAGTGTCTGGGAGATTGTTTCTCTCTACTCTATCACTTTCCACCAACTCATATTAGGTCAGTTTTTTTTCAGTAATATAAATAATAATACGAATAATAATAATAATAATCATAATAATAATATCACTACTCTTACTAATTATAATATAATAATATTTATTTTAGTAAAGACGGTGATGGTGTTTTAACTTTGCGAGTAGTAGTAGTAGTAGTAGTAGTAGTAGTAGTAGTAGTAGTAATAATGATATCACTACTCTTACTAATTATAATATAATAATATTTATCTTAGTAAAGACGGTGATGATGTTTTAACTTTGCGAGTAGTAGTAGTAGTAGTAGTAGTAGTAGTAGTAATAATAATAATGATATCACTACTCTTACTAATTATAATATAATAATATTTATCTTAGTAAAGACGGTGATGGTGTTTTAACTTTGCGAGTAGTAGTAGTAGTAGTAGTAGTAGTAGTAGTAGTAGTAGTAGTAGTAGTAGTAGTAATAATAATAATAATGATGATATCACTACTCTTACTAATTATAATATAATAATATTTATCTTAGTAAAGACGGTGATGGTGTTTTAACTTTGCGAGTAGTAGTAGTAGTAGTAGTAGTTGTAGTAGTAGTAGTAGAAGTAGTAGTAATAATAATAATAATAATAACAAGAATAAAAATAGTTTTCTCTCTTCACAACAGGATAAAACTACCAAGAAGTTTTACATCACGTGATGGTGATGACGACGACGACGATGGTGGTGGTGGTGTCGAAGTCACTGAAGAAGCTGGCTTGTACACTGATGATAAGCTGTTCTTGCTGGAGCTAGCTGAGAGGTTTATCATATTGCTATATTATAATTAACTATAATTAATAATAATAATAATAATTATTATTATTATTATTGCTATAACATGGTTGTTGTTGATGATGATGGTGATAGCGATGATGATGGGAATAATAATAATAATAAAATTTAGGTGTTACTGCAGTTGTTTAAAGTTAAATTCTGAAGCTTCTGACGTCTGGTACAGCTTGGCCTGTAGTTATTATTATCAGGTTTGTTTTTTTTTATGGTTGTTTGTTCTTCACTCGTTCGTTCGTTCGCTAGTTTGTTCATTTGTTCATTCTTTCGTTTGCAAGTTTGCTAGTTCAATCACTCGTTTGTTTTATCATTAATTCGTCAGTTCATGTTTTTTCAGCTTCTTCTCTTAATAGTTCATTCATGCGTTCATTCATTCAGTTTCCCTATACTACTGTATTATACATTTTTTACCGAAAGCTGAAAACTCTGTTAGAACTATCTGGAAACCTCCCAACAACAAAAACACCAACAAAAACTACAGCAACAACAACTTCATCATCAGCAGCTACAACAACAACCGCCTTAAAGTTGTTATCAAACAAATGCTATCAATCGGCCAGGAGGTGCCTTGCATTGTCACTATCAAACCATGGATGTTGGAATTTACTTGGCGTTCTAGCTGCCACTAAGCGTATGTTGAGGTGTTGTTGTGCTGTTGTTGCTGATGTTGCTGTTGTTGAAGATGTTGTTGTTGATGTTGGTGGTGTTGTTGATGTGTTTTGTTGTTGTTAATGTTTTTACAACTCTTTGCATATCTTTCTCTATCTTTCTGATTTCCCCCCTCTTGTTTTATCATAATTTTTTCAATTCTTCAATACATTGTTTTCTCTCTCTCTCTCTCTCTCTCTCTCTCTCTCTTTCTCTCTACCTTTTTTTCTTTCTTTCTTTCTTTCTCTCTCTTTTTCTCTCTCCCTCTCTAACAAAACGTACAACAACACGATGGCACGTCAATGAAATCCTAAACAGCAATTGAAGACCATGCACTGTCAGAGCATTTTTTCATCAGCTCAATATTCCATCAGAAACATGTGCGTTCGTATTTTAACTTGCTTCATTCATTGTGCCTATTGTTAATTATAACGTCTGCTATAATTATAATTATTATAATTATTATAATAATAATAATTATTACTATTGTTATTTATGTTATACATTTTATTCTTTTGTTTTGTCGTAATTTTAAAAATAATTGCGACAGAACGCTGGGGCATGGTCGAACCTTGGCTTTCTCTATCTCATTAATGACAAAATTGAGGTTGGATTTCGTTTCTTCTCTATAATTTTTTATATGATATTTTGGATCACTACAATTATTTACAATATTATAGTTCGTTCTTCTTATTATTATTAATTAAATATACTTATAATTAAATAATAATAATAATTATATTTATTAACATAATTTATGTCAGCTTGCCCATGAAGCATTTAAGAATGCTCAGTCCATTGAGCCGTCGTTTGCCAACAGCTGGATTGGACAAGTACGTCATATTTTGTCCAAATATTCTCTCTCTCTCTCACTCTCTCTCACACTCTCTCTTTCTCTTTATCTCTTTCTTTCTTTCTCTCTCTATCTCTCTCTCTCTCTCTCTCTCTCTCTCTCTTCTATTTCTTTATTTTACTCTGTTTTTCTTTCTCTTACTCTCCCCCAACTAAAAACGGATAGCACCACAAAAAACTTTTCAATTCAACACGGCATAGCCTTCAGTTTATTATACATAATTATTATAATTAATTATTACTAACTACATTTATAATTAATAATAAAAATGATAATCATATTTATATAATAATTATTATTCTATTGTTTTTAGGCCCTGATAGCAGAGAGGCTAAAAGACAATTTAACCGTCAGTCATTTGGAATCCATGGATTTATTCAGGCATTCGGTTCAGATAGATAATCATGTACGTGTATTATACATGTACACATGTCGTATGTATATCCCTTTTGTATGTGTATACATGTATGTGTATATAGTATGTGATATCACTTTCATATGTATATCATAATTTTATTTAAGTATGTTTCTGGCTTTCGTCGAAAAGTTACTATAGTTCAAATTTTAAAAAAAATTTCAAACCCTCAGCCTGAAGCCGCCCTAAGCTATGCTCATTGGGTTTGCTCAACATTGGATGAGTGTAACAACATCAACAACAATAATAATAATAATCATAATAATAATAATAACATAGATACAAAATGGCTTCTGTATACATTCGAGCATCTGAAAGCTGTCGATGCTGCCCTTGATTCTATGACAAAATATTTAGGCATGTCTTTTTATTATTATTATTGTTGTTATTATTATTATTATTATTAATTATTATTATTATTGTTAATGTTGTTATTGTTAGAGGAGAGGCCAGATGATTATGTTGGTTGGAATTATTTTGGACTTCTGTGCGAGAGGAAGAATCTATTGATCACCTCATGTAAAGCCTTTGAGAGGTCATGTTTGCCATAATTTATTATTATTCTGTTATTATTATTATTATCTATCTATCTATCTTTTCTTCTTCTTCCTCTTCTTCTTTGTTTCTTTGGTTCTCAGCTTCTGGGGTTGCTGATGACGATCTGCGAATTTTCTTCCTCCCATCGTCGCCATATTTCCATCGATTAATCTCCATCTTTTAATCATCTTCAGACCTTCTGTAATATCTATCATCATCATTATTATTTTTTTTTATTATTATTATTGTTATTATTATTATTATTATTATTAGTAGTAGTAGTAGCAGTAGTAGTAGTAGTAGTAGTAGTAGTAGTAGTAGTAGTAGTAGTAGTAGTAGTAGTAGTAGCAGTAGTAGTAGTAGTAGCAGTAGTAGTAGAAGTAGTAGTAATAGTAGTAGTAGTAGTTGTTGTTGTAGTAGTAGTATTCACGTGAGGTAAACATTTAGAGGAAACAGTTCACAACGTATCGTAATGGCTAAATCAGCGTACCAAGTGTAAATTATTTACCCGTACATATATATATATGAAGTAAATGAAAATCATTTTTTATTTTATTTTTCTATTTTTATCACTTAATTATCATAATTTATTCTTCTCGAAGGAGTCTGGAGATGATGAACGAGAGAGATGTTGATGACGGAGGAGAGAGTGTGAGAATTGTCAGAACTAATTATGCCAGGCTTCTGTGGTAATTTTATTATTATTATTATTATTGTTATTATTATTTTGTTCTGTTATTATTGTTATTATTATTGTTGCTTTTTACGATTAATATTATATAACGCGACGATATCCTTTATAACTTTGTGTAAAGTTTTAAAGTTTTACTGCCACTATTACTACTACAGTTACTACTACTACAATTACTACTACTACTACTACTACTACTACTACTACTACTACTACTACTACTATTGCTACTACTACTACTGCTACTACTACTTCTACTACTACTACTAATAATAATAATAATACTGTTTAACAGCAAAACAGGCCAGTTCGAATTATCTCTACAACATTATAACGGTCTCAAGGACGCGAAGCAACAGCGAGAACAACGTCATAATAATGGTGAAGCTGCTGCTTCTGCTGTCGACGACGACAGACACGCCATTGTGACGTTATGTCTGCATGCTTTATGCCTCTACAAGAATGGCCAATACGATGAAGCTATGATTGGTTATCATTATTATTATTGTTATTATCATTGTTGTTGTTGTGGTTATTTTTATTATTCTTTTAGAATACCTGAGGGCCAAAGAACTGGTGAAAGATTTAAGGATGGAGGATTTGATTAGCGTGGCAATGGGCATCGTTTGTTATGCCATGGGAGACAATGACCATTCGCAGCATTTTTTATTGGCGAGGTTGTTGTTGTCGTCGTCGTCGTTGTTGTTGTTGTTGTTTGGCTTAGTAATATGACGTCACCGTCTTCTTCATTGAAGTAAATATCATCATCACAGTAATGTAAAAAGTAAATATCGTCATCATCATCATTACCGAAAACAGTATTGGCGCCAAAAGGATTCCATCTATAGAGAATTTACGATCGCTATTATGTTTGAGTGTTCTGATTGGCCAGCCAATCCTGACGAAGGCCGTTCTTTCTGAAATGTCAAAGTTCAAAGGTCAGATCGTTGCCGACGCTACGCTCTGCTGGCTGCTGTGTGAAGCTACTGTTGTAGTTGTTAGTGCGTTGTTGTTGTTTTTCGGAATTTTTTTTCATTTCTTGTTTTCGTTATTTTGTTTTAGGTAAAATAATGAATGTAACTTCAATTTGTTTTATATCTAATCTTTTCAGAATAAATCTCAAGATGAAGGTCGTCTTCCTTTCGTCTGTGACCTCCTGCGTGCCATTCACCTTCATCCGGAAAAATCAGAGGGCTGGGCTAGGTCGGCCATGTTTCTTTTACAAGGTCACATGACTGATGACGTAATGAGGAATGTGCAGAGATTCTGTGAGGTTGCCCTAAGTAACGGCGACAAAAATTACAGCATGGTTTGTCTATGTTTCATGTTCTATGCGAAATTTCTTTGTCCTTAAATTCGTTTTTTTTGTTTCATTCAAAATAAATAGGTGGCGCTGCAGTGTTTGGTGATGACGTCATTGTTAAAACCATCGAAAAACAACAAATTAACATCATCGTCGTCGTCGGCAACAAAAACATCAACAACATCGTCATCTTTCTCCCTCTCTTCATTTCGCCTAGCTCAAAAGCTAGTACACATGTATCCGGGTACAAACTCGTATCTCTGTTGTCATTTTTATTATTTTTCTTCTTATCATTATTTATTTTTTACTTTTTCATTCATTCATCAAATAAAGTTAATGTATAACTACCAAATAAATGAATTCTAATAGCCTATATTTTTATAAACACGTAAGCAGATAGCATTACAAACTGGAGTCTGCTAATGCATTCTTGCCAGAAACAACTAAACAACAACAACAACAACGTAAACAACAACAACAACAAAGTAAACAACGACGATGACGTCATTGGAAATGATGGTGGTCAGTGGCTAAAGTCGTTCCTCGAACGACACACCGACCACTTAATAGCGCTTGGTGGGCCAACGAAATTCTTTCTATTTCAACTAATTATTTTTACTATTATTGCTTCAATTTCTTTTTCTATTTTCATATATTTTCAAATGGAATAATTTTAAATTGAAATAAATGTTATATTTTTTCAATTTCGCAGTGGAAAGTGTGTTAAAGATTGATAAAAGTGATAAACTATTAAGCAAACTGCACGTATGGCTGTCAAGAGTTCATATTATCGCTACCTTACTCAAAAATGACGTCACCCAGGCCAAAAAACTTTTAAATAATGTTAGATATTTTTAGAAGAAATTGTTATTTCTTCGTTTCTAATGCTAATTTTAAATAATTCTAATAACCATTTGGCAGGCTCTGTGGTTATATGAAGATGACGAGTTTTTACAAAAGTTAAACGAGCGGCTATAATTTTTTGGGTGAGATTGTGATGTTCAGTGAGAAATTAGGTTATAATGAGGATGATGAAGACGATAACAAAGACAATGATGATGATGATGAAAATGACGATGAAGATGAGAGTGATGCTACTGTAGTCGGTGACGATGGTGATGTAAGCATATCATCATGGGCTATCTGCAGTTCATTTATTACAGTTTAAATTAATTGATTAATTGAACTCATTAATTTTTATTTATTCCTTGCAAAAATATTGGAAGGCAAGAAGATTGAATTGAATTTGTGCTTTATGATTTTGCTATTTTCAGCTATAGTTTCATTTTAATGATTCTTACAATGTACATTGTCGGAGAAATAAAATAAAAAAATGGTATAGATCTAGACTTTGTCAAGGACTTACAATATAAAACAACCCAAAATTCAATAATTTAAAATATGATGTTGGTGTTTTATATATATATATATATATATGAACGTTCAATGTGCGCTTGTTTATTGGTCTTTAATTGCCACTCTTTTAGAACCTTACAACAATTTGAAATGTCGAAGTTTCCAACATCGAACTAAGTTCAAATCAAAACACGTTTATGGGGTTTTTAAATGCAAATTAGTGAATATAAATAAAGAATTAATTAAAAAAATAATCGTAACGGTTTTATATTTTACTAACAAACTTTCGCAAAAGATAGAATTATGACGCACGGTAATAACTTAGACGATGACGAAAAATCCTCATTTCTCGGAATTCTCCTGGATTTGGCCAGATCCCTGGCCACCCTCGAGCCTGCCCCACTGGAAAAAGTAAGTAAGACAGGATGTTATAAATTTTCATAATTATTGTATTATATTTATAATTGTATGTCTGTATATATGGTTTCATTGTTTCTTCTTCTTGAGCCAGGCTTTTTTTATTCTAGTATTTAAAATTTTTAATTTAGAAATTGTCTGCAATAGATTTTTTTAGAGATCAATAGTAAATAGAACTATGATTTCATTTCAAAACTGCAAAAAAATATTTAGGATTATTTTAAAGAAAATTATATGAAATTATTTATAAAACAATTGTATTTATTGAAAGGTAAAACGAATTATTTCTCTTTGCCCTGCAATAAAAACAAACACAGCATTTCGCTTTGACCAAAGAGGCCAATCTGCCATCATAGCCCTTGGAGTCTTCTACCTAGAATCAAATCAACAGGTTGTTTTTATTTTAAATTTATATTGCAATATTTATGCTTACTATTGCATAATTTGATACTATATTTATTTGATGTTGGTGTATTGATATTGTTATAATATTTACCATTATACATTGTAATTTGATATCTATCATAGTATTTTCATGATACTTTTGCTATTATATATCGTGATACTATATCTATAAATGATACTTATTGGTATTTTTTAGTACTCTCAATTGATACTGCCATACCTTCTGATGGTGTTGGATAATTTGCACAAGGCACTCTGGATTGATGGCGATGGTGGAATACAGATTAGAAGTTTGTTTGTTTGTTTGTTTGTTTGTTTGTTTGTATCATTGTTTGTTTGTTTGTATGTATGTATGTATGTTTTTTATACAATATTATAATTAGAACTACCAATGAGTGAATGTTTCTCCTTTGCCTTCCACACCTTAATGTCTGATATTGCATCCTCTAACTCTGGTATCTCTCAAAAAGTTGGTCCATGTAAAATTCTTTCTTTTTTAAAATACACACCCATGCATGGATATACACACATACAAATACGCACATACATGTGTGGATACACGCAAATACACACATACATACGTGCACACATGTGTGAATACACACAAAAACATGCATACATACATGCATACATGTATAGATACACACAAAAACAGTGACAGATCTAGACAAATTTAATGGGAAGGTCCAAAATTTAAATTTTAAAAAAATATATTTATATATATATTGTTGTTGTTTTTATTTTATTTTAAATGTTTTTTTAATTTCCAATAAATAAGATCATAGAATCACAATTACAAGCTTTCAAAAAATTATGCACTGTGATCATCGACCCAAAATCTGATCCAACTGTAACGAAAGGTTATTAGCGTTTTATCTATTTCAATTTCATACATATCTATCTTTCTTTGAACTTGTGTGTATATCTGTGTCTGTATGTATGTGTGTGTGTGTGTGCGTGTGCGCGTGTGTTTGTATGCGTATGAACTTGTATGTGTACGTGTGTGTGGATATATATATATATATATATATATATATATATATAAATATATATTTTGGGATGTGGTTTTCAGCTATGCAGATTTCATTGAATAATTTTGCCCACTTAGCATTAATCAACTTTTTAAAAATAAACTCAACGATATGGAATCGTTGTAAAAAGTTGAATAATGCTAAGTTGGCAAAAATATTCAATGAAATCTATCTATATATATATATATATATATATATATATATATATATATATATATATGAGTAGCTGATTTACTCTTTACTGATAGTGTTTTAGTTACATTTTTTTATAATTTTTTTCTTAGAAACCAGATGTCGCTATCTGGTCCCAGCATTTCTAGGCACGGCTCGTTCCCTCGGCAGATTTTCCACCACCACGTCAATCCTCAACAGTCCCATCCCATCTCCAATCCCTCCGTCGTCCCCAACATCATTGTCATCGTCGTCTTCATCATCTTCTTCTGGTTCCTCTCTCTTTTTGACTCTCTTCCCAAAAGAAATCCTCCTAGCTACTGTTAATGTGAAATCTCAGTTAAGTAGCGGTAAGAATAATAAGAGGAATTTTCGATTTCGTCCCATATTTCCAAGGGTAATGTCCTACAATGTTCTCTCGTCCGCTACTCCCACTCCCACTCCTCTCATTCCTCTTCCTTCTCATCCGCAACCTTCTAATCCGGATTATATCACTGGTCTGAGGTTAATTTGCTGTTATGCGTGCGAGCGTGCACGCGTTGATGTTGGGATGGTGGGGGTGTAGCTGCTGGGTTGTCGGGAAGTTGATTCAAAGGCCGTTATTGCAATTTTTGTCTCGACATTCATCAGGATCGTCTTCTTCATCATGGTCATCTTCTCATCTTCATCATCGTCTTCATCGCTAGGTCGCCATCTCCGATGACGGATCCACTGGAGGCTTCCATGATCGTCCAGTCAGAAAATGTGACCACTGGCGTCCAGTTTTTCAACAAAATTGGCTCGACCTTCGTGCAGAACAACAACATCTGTGACCTACTTTTGTCGCTGAATCACGATAAACTGGGTCACCTCGAAATGAAGCAAGAACAACTTGAGATGTTGCTTGACGTTGTTAGTGTCGCCATCGTTTACTCGTTCGTTCGTTCGTTTGTTCGTTCGTTCGTTTGTTCGTTCGTTCGTTCGTTCGTTTGTTCAATCACTCATTCGTTCTTTAAATATTATTCACAAGGCGAAAAGCATTTTGGACAAAACGTTCCTAGTTGAATTGGATGTGGCCGCCAGTGAATTTGCCGTCGTATGTTTGCCCCATCTTTATAATCATCCCACTCGCTATCACCATCAACAACATTGTCATCATCATCGTCATCATCGTCATCAACAACAACAACAGCAATAACAACAACATCGTCATCATCAACATCACTGCACAGAGTCCAGCGTCCTTCATGCCAACAAGTTATGGTCATCCCTACAGAACCTATACGGAGGTACTGAGGTTTGTGATGGTTCAGTTGCTGAGAGATATCCTCTGCTATCAACAAAGTAGGCTGCTGATGATGATGACGATGTCGATGACGTCACTGTTTGAGGATGTTTATGCTGTTGTTGATATCTTTCATGAAGAACAAAACGAAGCAACTTCACAACAAACAACAACCACGAACAAACTCCAACACAACAATAACAACAACGAACAACAACCACAAACAAACACCGATGCAACAACAACAGCGACACAACGAACAACAACCACAAACAAACACCGATGCAACAACTAAAACCACAAACAAACACCGATACAACAACAACACAACGAACAACAACCACAAACAAACACCGATGCAACAACTAAAACCACAAACAAACACCGATACAACAACAACACAACGAACAACAACCACAAACAAACACCGACACAACAACAACGACACAGATTTCAAAACTGATTTCTCAAGAAGTGTGCAGGACTTCGTGAAGAAAGTCTACGAGGTTGGCCAGTCGATGTTGCTACACAAACAAGAGCAACACAAAGCCCACAAAGACGACTCGTCATCCAGCGCCGACAAAAGTGGTAGCGGTAGCGGCGCCAACAGCGGCGCCACACTCGATGTGGCCGATTTGCTGATCAAGAGTAATGTCGTCTGCATCGAGTTGCTCTTGTGGGCTATTCAAGAAGAAGCTGGTTGGTTGGCTGGCTGGCTGGCTGGCTGGCTGGTTGATTGGTTGGTTGGCTGGCTGGTTGGTTGGTTGATTAGTTGGTTTTTGTGTTTGCTGAATAATGTGATTGAAATACAACACGCAATTTATTCATTTATTTATTCATTCATTTTATCTTATTATTCATTTTCTCATTCATTCACTCAATCATTCTACAGACGCAGACAGTCTGTGCAACAAGCTGATCGAAAAGTTGAATACAAATTTCGAACACAGAGTCCTCATCGCACAACATGCTCTGCTGCTTGCTTCATTCAGGGTTACGCTGCTTATCTGATGTCATTTCGACTGACGTCATTCATGTTAATGTCATTTGTAATGACGTCACTTCAGTTGTAGATGTATAGACATTCGACCATTGCACTAACAGACCTTAGGCAGGTTGGCAGAAAAATTCCCGGTATTCTCACAGCCAGTGGTCCAGGCTTGCAGGGATTTCCTCGTCCAACCATCTCCCATACTTTCCAAACTCTACAAACACACTCAAAACGTTGGCGCCAGCAGTTCAACCACTAGCGGAGTAGGAGGGGGAGGAGCTAAAGGAGAAACCCCAGCTGCTGCTGCAGCAGCTTCTAGCGCTGCTGTCATCACCCCGCCATCGTCGCCCGCTCAGATGAATAATCATCAGTTGCCAGGCTGGTATTGCTGTGCGAATGTTCTTCTTGCCGGTTAAAGTAACGTTACTTGTTATCGTATTTATTATTGATTAATGAATAAATTATGTTAATTCGGTAGGCGTGTCAGTGACACTGGCAGACACGACGTTGAGCGACTTAAGACGCCACAACGCCAACGACGGCGATGCCTGGAATAAGAAGAAGAAATCGAAGATCGGCATCATCATGGAGAACTTGAGGGACGAGGCTATTGAGAACATCTGCAGGTCCGTTTCTCGGAGTGACTGCTTGAATGAATGAATGAATGAGTGAATGAATGAATGAATGAATGAATGAGTGATTAAATGAATGAATGAATTTAAATATTTCCTTACAGAGCACTAAAGGCAGGCTTACCATTGGATCCGGATTGTGTGCAAGCATTCCTGGCTAGCCTCTCCAATCGTCTCTACACTGTAGATGTCAAGGAGAGGTTTGTTTGGCTGTATTACGGTCATCATCAGGGTCGTCATCAGGGTCGTCATCATCACCATCATCATCAGGGTCGTCATCATCACCATCATCATCAGGGTCGTCATCATCACCATCATCATCAGGGTCGTCATCATCACCATCATCATCAGGGTCGTCATCATCATCATCAGGGTCGTCATCATCATCCTCATCATCATTACGCACCGCCACCAACAGCAAACAATCCTCCTTAATTCTACAAAACACCATCTTGACCCTGGGCAACGTGGCAGTTGCCCTGAAGGAGACCCCGAAAACTGTAGAGTCAGTCTTGCAGATCTTCCAACAGAGGTTCTGCTCTCCGCCCTCCAGTCTCGATATTCTCATCATTGATCAGATGGGCTGTCTCATTATTGCTGGATGCGTTAGTTGATGAATAGATGAATGAGTGAGTGATTGATTGGATGATTGATTGAATGATTGATCAGTTGGCCGACCGATTGGTTAATAGATTTACAACCCAAACGACAAACAAACACAGCCAACAGTTCATTTAGAGATCATGAACATGTTTAGTTTGATAAGCATCGAAAGCAGTTTGGCCCTTCAGAAACCTGGCAATGAGGCCAACAACTTCAGGTTTCTCATCGTTTCAGATTGTTTTGTATCTTTTTAGTATCATTTTGTATCACTTTGTTTTGTATCCTTTTGTATCACTTTGTATCTCGTTACTCTACGTTAATATGACAGGCATGTCTCATCAGCGGTTATAAACGCATTTGCGAACATAGCGGTGAACGTAAAAGGCGAGAGTAGGGTGAACGACTTGCTGAACCGTTTGCTGGAACTGTTCGTCCAGTTGGGCCTGGAGGGCAAACGAGTCTCGGAAAAAACTTCGGGTCCACTAAAAGTGAATTTAAATCGTGAATTAGTGAAGTTTTTATCTTGATTTTGTGACATTTTCATCTCGATTTACTGTTTAGTGTTTTGAATTTTAGGTTAAGATGTGATATTTCAATATTTAATAATGTTATTAAACCATATCCATTTATTTTATAAAAATTTTAAATTCCCCGAAAAATTTTCCACCAACAAAGGCGTCAAATAGCGCTGGAAACTTAGGCGTCTTGATTCCCGTCATTGCCTCGGTTCGTTTCGATTCGTTATTTTCGTTTCGTTAACATTTTTCTGTATTAGCAAACTAGACATACTCATTACACATTAACACAAACACAAATGTACTCACACGTACGTGCAATCACACACTCACACACAACACACACACACACACATACTCAAACATACACACACACAGCTGACGAGTCGCATGTCCATCATAAGCAACCCAAAAAATCGACTGCAGAAATTGTTCAGGGATTTTTGGCTCTATTGTGTCATCATGGGTTTCACTAATGAAGGTGTGTGTGTGTGTGTGTGTGTGTGTGTGTGTGTGTGTGTGTGTGTGTGTGTGATTGTTTGATTGGTTGGTTAGTTGATTGATTGGTTGGTTGGTTCATTCATTCATTCTATCATTCGTTCATTCGTTCGTTCATGAACGCACACTTAACTCACACTCACAATCATTTATTATTTTCATTCGTTCATTCATTCCGACACGCATACTCATAAATAAAAGTGAAAAAGAAAGAAAAATGACACACATGCAAACGCACATACACGCACACACACACACACGCACGCACACACAGACCAGTGGCCGGTGGAATGGTTCGAAGGCGTCTGCCAGATAGCCACTAAATCGCCTCTCTTAATTTTGAAGGAACATTTGAGATCTGAATTGCAGTACACCTCAGTCCTCAATAGTAGCTCCATGACGACCGTGAGTTCATTGACTGACTGAGTGAATGAGTTCATTGGCTGGTTGGTTGATTGATGGGCTAGTTAATTGATTGATTGGTTGGTTAATTGATTGATTGGTTGGTTAATTGATTGATTGGTTGGTTGGTTGATCGATTGACAGGTTGGTTGGTTGATTGATATGTCTCCGATCACCTATATTCAACAAACCTGGTTTTCAATTTTAACTATTAATATTAATACACAGTCAATTAGTTATTCAATCAATCAATCTTTCTTTCACTCACTCACTCACTCACTCTCTCACTCACGCACTCACTCACTCACTGCAGTCTGAACTAGCGGAGATGCGGAACACGGTGTTGAACGTGTTGGACAATCCCACGGAGCTCATCCCAATCGTCAACAAACTATCATTCGCTCAGTGCGCCTACCTCCTATCTGTCTATAAACTTGAGGCTCTAAGGTTCTCGCCTCATTACGATGATGTTGTTGGTGCTGATGGCGATGATGTCATTTGGTGATGACGTCATAGATGATGATGATGTCATTGGTGATGTCCTTTTTTCTTGTTTTCCTTCCTCTCAGGATCTCCCACAGTACGGATCCTTGTGCGTTTCACGGATTGTTTTTGTACCTGGAGGACAAGGGAATCATTCAGGATAAGAGCGACATGTGGAAGTGCATCTCAGCCGTGTCCTACAAGGCTTTTGAGATTTTCCTCAATGTCAAGTCTGACATGGTTCGTGTTTGTTTGTTGGCTCTGCGATGTGTTTCTCGGTGTGTGTGGTGCTTTTTTCCTGGTGTTTTTGTTGTTTTTTTTAGTGTAACTATTTCGATTTTTTCACAAATATTTCTCCCATTTAGCCAAAAACTGAGCAGTTAGAGAGAGAATTAGAGCAAGATGCCCAGTTTTTGTTGGTTAACTTCAACCACTACTTCAAAACTATCCGAAGGGTTGCTGACAAGTTTCTGTCGAATCTAGTTGAAAGGTTGTGGCTGATTGATGGTTGGTCGGTTGGCTAATTGGCTGATTGGTTGATTGATTTGTTTAATGTTTGATTGATTGATTTGTGTAAGGCTTGATTGATTGATCGATCAATCGATTGATTGATCGACTTTGCAACAAACAAATTTCCAAACGAAAAAAGAGTGAATTTTTCTTCCCACTCAGATTCCCTACACTTCTGTGGAGTAGGAAGGTACTGACAACAATGCTTGATATACTCCAGATCCTCTCAACCTCTTTAGAAATGGTACTTCAGGACAACATTATTATTATTATTTCTTAAATAATAATAATATTATTAATCTCGTTATTAATCTTATTCTTTTATTATTATTATTATTCTTATTATTATTATTATACGTCCTACCTTGGGGAACTGGGTCTCTGGACGCTAAACGAAGATTGATTGATTGATTGATTGATCGATTGATTGATTGATTGATTGATTGATTGATTGATTGATTGATTGATTGATTGATTGATTGATTGATTGATTGATTGATTGATTGATTGATTGATTGATTGATTATTCTTATTCTTTTTTATTCTTATTCTTATTCTTCCGTAGAACCCAAACGACCAGCCGCCAGAATTTCAGGTCCCAGGAACGAAGTACAAATTAAGGGTGCCTAGTACGATGGCCGAAAGAGAGGTTGTACATGTTATAATTTTTAAATTATTATTATTGTTATAATAATAATAATAATTATTATTATTATTGTCATTATTTAATGTTTCATTCAATCTGTTTACTCATTCATTCTTTTACCCGTTCTGTCATTCATTTATTCATTTATCACCACAGTTTTGTTAATTAATCAGTCACTTATTCGTTTGGCCATTCATTCATTCATTCATTTATTCATCCATTCATTCATTCATTCATTCATTCATTCATTCATTCATTCATTCATTCATTCATTCATTCATGCACCAACGCAGAACACAGTAAAGGATTTTGCAGCCCGGAGCATTGGG